TTTCCTCCTCCTCCTCTTCCTCCTGCTCCGCCTCGCCCTCCTCCTCCTCCTCCTCCTCCTCCTCCTGTTCCTGTTCCTGTTCCTCCTCCTCCTCGTGTTCGTCCTCCACCTGCTGTTCCTCCTCCTCCCTCCCCCGCCCCCTCTCCCCTCCTTCCCGCGCGCGCTGGGGCTCTCGCGGAGGAGGAGGAGGAGGAGGAGGAGGAGGAGGAGGAGGAGGAGGAAGAGGAAGAGGAGGAGGAGGAGGAGGAGGAGGAGGAGGAGGAGGAGGATCGGGGGATCGGGGGATCCGAAAGGGGCACGGAAATAGTGGGTACAGAGCCAACATCAGTTCTTGCGCATTTTGAATAGGATTCGTTGCCCTTTTTCTCCAGTGCCCAGCCCTGGCGTCCAACGAGGAGGATATTGAATCGAGTTTTGTCGTGCGGCTTGTACATTTCTGGGATCCTTGAAGGTTTCCGGGGGGTTCCAGGGGACCCTTCTATCCCTCCCGAGAGGAGCCTTTTCTGTGCCAGATGGGCTTCCGTGCGGCGGAGCCTTGCACGACCGCAGTCGGATTCTGAATAGTCTGTCCGAGAAGAGGAACACGCTGACCATCACCCAGGTCCCGTGGAGGAAAAGGTACCGATACTGCTACCTTTTTTTCTTGTTTTCCCATTTTCGGGGGCCTCCGCTTCGAAATTCCAGTCAGAACGCGCCCCAGGAGAGTAGCGGTATCACTATCTGGTTTCCCCAAAGATGTCGCGGAATCTTGTCGACGCCGCTCTTGATCATGGTCGCTGTCTAAGTAGGCCCCGGAAACGGCAGGGCCGTTTTTTTCACCGTTTCCGAAAAGTGCCTTTTGAAAGTGGAAACATAATTTGCAACCGAAAACGAAAGAACGGCTCCCGAATTGGAACAAGACCCCAGCCTGGAACTGGCACAACAATTGCGACGGAACCGCGAAGGGAACGGCGGCTGAACCGGCAGGAAAACGGCAAAACGGAACCGGTAAAAACACGGCCTTGTCGTTTCCAGGGCCCGCCAACGTCCATCCGTGCTTTCGCCGTTTCGCGAGGCTGATCTACGGGTCGACGTTGACCAAGATGGACGGTGACCAAGATCGGCGCCGCCGTTTTAATGTTCAGTACTGTTCATGGTCCACGCGTGTTTTCTTTTTATCAATGCCGAGGTGCTGCATGAATTGCAAGTCGCAGGTAATTCACTTTCTCCGCAGGGGATCCCAGCCTGCCAGACGGACTCCATCCGCCGACATGGTCTGTAAGACATCTTGCCGAGCGGGGATGCCCAGAAGATAATCTGACTCAAGTCGGGACTGTCCCTGCGCAGGAGGAGTATCCAGAAATAGGCAACTTGATAGTCTGGGGACGATGTTTGCGCATTTGTTGACTATGTTGGTGCATTTTCTGTTGTTGGTATGTTTGAAGTTTCGCCCGGAACCAGCCTGTAGGGGGACATGCCCGACCTAAATGTAACCCATTTGGCCCGCAGCACGGCGTCCATGGAGTCCAAACTGTCCGACGGGTTCGGAGCTCGCCGACCGGATTCAGCTTCGCCGAACGGACGTTTTGAGATCGGTGCGAGGTGCCGTTCGCACATGTGGATGCTTCCAATGTCAGTACCGTCAGTGATACATTCAAGCTGCTAACAAAAAAAAATAATGTGATGCAATCGGCGGGACCTCCATACTTTGTACCTAGTGGGCTGACCATGAACTGTAATGGGTTGGACCAGTAAGAATAAGAAATGAGATTCCCCCAACATTGTTTGCCCTTAGGAGCTCCTACTTCTTCCAAAGGAACTGGGCCTGAGGGCGGGTGCGGCGGCTCCCTGCTCGCCTTCGCCGCCCCATCGCCGCCTCGTCGCCGCCGGTCGTCTGGACATGAGGGCCGGTCTGGCTGCTCCGTGCTCGCCGTCGCCGTTGCGTCGCCACCTCGTCGTCGCCCGACGTATAGGCATGCGGGCTGGTCTGGCGCCTTCGTGCTCGCCGTCGCTGCCTCATCGTTGCACTGCGTTGATTTGCCTTGCTTCGCACTGCTGTGCATTGGTTTGCATTGCGTTGCTATGCCTTGCTTTGCGTTGTTTTTAGGTGCGTTGCATGGCATTGATTTCCACTGCAGGGCATTGCTTTGCGTTGTGCTTCATTGCTTTGTGTTGCTGTGTAGTGCATTGCATTGCTTTGTCTTGTTTTGCATTGCTATTCATTGCCTTGCATTGCTTTGCATTGCATGGCGTTGCATGGCGTTGCATGGCGTTGCTTGCCTTGCTTTGCGTTGCTTTGGGGTGCTTTGCATGGCATTGCTTTTCTTTGCACTGCGCGGATTGTATGTATCACATCGTTTGCACCACCCGTTGTGCACGACATGGATTGTACACCAGACGTTGCGCAGCTATACATGTTGCATGCAGTCGGGGCCCTGAAGAAGGAACCCTTGTCGTTGGGGAGGGGCTCCGCGTTCCTTGACTGTTTCGCAGCCTGCCTCAGGGTTCCCTTCTTATGTGTTCGACAGGGAGTCGAAGTGTAACTTGTGGAACAAAAGGGGCCTCGTTCCTTATTTAGGGTTCCTGCGGTCAACGCCCCGACTGTACACCTTAGGCGATGCTTAAGAAAACTTAAATTTTCGGCCAGAGTCTCGATTATTCTTAATGTTTCAATGTAGATCCTAAGAACTGAATGGGAACTTTAGGTTTTTATTCAAGTTCTGAGACTATGAATTTCTTAACCCATGATTTCTTAAGCATTCCGCAGGGTGTAGAGTGCTCCACCCGGACTGCCCAGCACAGTCTGCCAGACCGCGCACCTGTGGGGGCCCACGCTGGCTGGCCAGTACAGTGCACGGCTGGCACGGGGCACAGCGTCGCGGCAGGCTCGGGGAGGCAGCCACGATGTCCCTCGCGTTTGCTGCACGTCGGTGTGCATCCTCCTACATTCTCCTCCCTCCTCCTCCTCCTCCTCCTCCTCCTCCTCCTCCTCCTCCTGGGGGAAGGGGGCCCTCGAGTGCTCTCTTCTTCGCTCGGACCGGCGAGAAGGCTTCCTGTTCCCGGAGGGAGCTCTTCTGCCCGAGGTCCTGCCGCACTGCACCAGTCCAGAGCGTGGTGTTCTATCTGTGGCAGTGGCCAGCGGGCAGAGAAACAGCGCGCGCACGGGGCGGCTCGGCCGTGCTCCACCCGCCCAATCTGCCGCAGTCTGCCGCAGGGCTCGACCTGAGCGGTGTCTTGGCGATTCCGTTGACCGTTTTCGTCTCGAGGCCGCTTGGCAGCAGAGCAGGAACGAAGACAAGCCGAGGCAAGGCGACAGCAAGACGAAAACGGAAAGCACCGTTTAGGTCGAGCCCGGATCTGCCGTCCTCCGCGCTCAGGGGCCTGCGGTCGGAAGTCCGCAAATCTGGCACTTGCCCGAAGTCGGCGGCGAGCCTGGCGGGGAAGTGAGAAGGAGAAGACCTCAGAAGGCTCGGAAGTCCCCCGGCCCTGTGAGAAGTTTTCGAAGCCTTCCCCGAAGACACGGAACACTTCTCAGAAAGCGCAATGAGTTCGGAGAAGCCCCGCCGCCTTTTTGAGAAGGCGGTCTCTTTCTAAGAACAAGAATTGCAGAACTCAAGACATTCGGCGCTCCGCGTGGACTTCTCGGGTCCCCCTGGGCCCCCCAACGGCGCGCGCTCCGCGCGCCAGGGAGGGGGCCCCAGCGCCGATCCAAGCAACCCGCGCGAAACTCCGAACGGGTTTCTGAATAAGCGTGGGGGCGTACCCCCCTGTCGGGGGTCAACCTGGCTTCGTCGTCGCGCCGCGACAGGGGTCCGAGCGCCTTCGGCGCGCTGTGGCTGCCCGCGACGGGGGTCGATGTGGGGTTGTCGGCGGGGGTGACGCCCACACCACGCTTATTCAGAAACTCGGCGTATGTCTTTGCTTCTCACTTCCCCCCCGCGCTCGCCGCCGACAAAAGTCCCTCGCGCCGCGAGAGAGTCACGACGGCAGCTTTTCTGGCTTGTCTGTTATAGTTTCGCCTTCTGCAGGCCCTCGCCGGGTCCCGCATGACCGCACAGTGGAGGCCCATGCCAAGAAACGCCCTGCTTGTGTCTCCCGGGTGCCCTGGGTTTCTTGGATGTCGATGGTTCTGCCACGGAGAGCGTGACGCTCCCACACCAGAAATCCATGGACGTCCTGGGGCCTCAGGGTTGGGTTGCTTGTGGAGGGCTTCTTATGGACTGACATCCATTGTAATTAGAAGAACGAGTCGGGATGGAAAACCGGTGCAGGGGAATGGGTCGAGACCTCCAGGGGGCCGTCGCATCTTTTTCGCGTCTTCAGCGCATCAAGAGCCCGAGCTGAAAACGGGTCAAAAACGGCCCATGTTGGCTCAAGCACCATTTGGGCTCAAGCCCCCCAGGCGCATCAGCGGGCGCGGCACGGGGCAGTTGGAGTCCAGCGCACGACACCCGAACGGCGGGCACGGCAAGGGGCAGTCGGCGCTGCCCCGCAACGCGGAGGCCACAACAGTGCGCACGCTGGCAGGCAGCGGCGATATGGGGTACGCGGACTGGCAGGGCGCGGCGGCCAGCTTCTGTTGTCCGATGGGGGTGGCGGTGGACGGCGCGGGCAACGTGTTCGTGGCCGACGCGGAGAACCACCGCATCCGGAAGATCTCGGCGGGCGGAGCCGTGAGCACGCTGGCGGGCAGCGGCGATATGGGGTACGCGGACGGGCAGGGCGCGGCGGCCAGCTTCTGGTGTCCGATGGGGGTGGCGGTGGACGGCGCGGGCAACGTGTTCGTGGCCGACGCGGGCAACCACCGCATCCGGAAGATCTCGGCGGGCGGAGCCGTGAGCACGCTGGCGGGCGGGGGCGCTGCGTGGCCCGCGGACGGGCAGGGCGCGGCGGCCAGCTTCTGTGAGCCGAAGGGGGTGGCGGTGGATGGCGCGGGCAACGTGTTCGTGGCCGCGGGCAACCACCGCATCTGGAAGATCTTGGCGGGCGGAGCCGTGAGCACGCTGGCGGGCAGCGGCGATATGGGGTACGCGGACGGGCAGGGCGCGGCGGCCAGCTTCTGGTGTCCGATGGGGGTGGCGGTGGACGGCGCGGGCAACGTGTTCGTGGCCGACAGTTACAACCACCGCATCCGGAAGATCTCGGCGGGCGGAGCCGTGAGCACGCTGGCGGGCAGCGGCGATATGGGGTACGCGGACGGGCAGGGCGCGGCGGCCAGCTTCTGGTGTCCGATGGGGGTGGCGGTGGACGGCGCGGGCAACGTGTTCGTGGCCGACAGTTACAACCACCGCATCCGGAAGATCTCGGCGGGCGGAGCCGTGAGCACGCTGGCGGGCAGCGGCGATATGGGGTACGCGGACGGGCAGGGCGCGGCGGCCAGCTTCTGGTGTCCGATGGGGGTGGCAGTGGACGGCGCGGGCAACGTGTTCGTGGCCGCGGGCAACCACCGCATTTGGACATGCGTTTCAGGCAGTTTTTTCGCACATCCAGCATTCACTGCTCACTTTCATCGTTTCATTGGTACAGAGCAGGTCGTTGATTTTTCTCAGCTGAAGCATGCGGAATTCATCTGGGAAGGTATAGTTCAAGGATTTGGAATCGACTGCGCGGGCATCTCTCAGGAACGAGGGCTTCGAGGCATTTGCAGGACAGGAGTTGTCGCGAGTGTGAGATTCGACAGCTATGCCCAAGGATCAGGTTCATCTAAAGCAGCCGCTGCGCATGAGGTACACTTGAAGCTGAAGCCCAAATACGAAGATTATGGTGGCTACCTGTATTACCCCAGCTCATTTAACAAAAAGCGGTGCAGGAAACAGAGAGCGGGGCGTCGTTGCCACGGTGAATGCGGAAGTCTCAGGAGTAAGCCAAGCGAGTATTCATGTTTGGCGTCATCTTTCAGCTGCCACTTGACTTTGATTTCAGGTTGGGGTATCATGCTGCAAACCGTTGAGCGGGATGGGATCCTGGGTGAAGGCCAGGAGGAGGAGGCTGACATGGCTGCATCGTTGCGGATCCCAATCGTGCAGTGCTGGTATGATGAGGACCGCTACGCTTTCATGTTCAAGGTGCTTGGCTAAGTGCAATTCGCAGGAGGCTGCGCTGCAGCGTTGGGCCACATCGTCGTTATTTCCTGCTAAGGGGGGGGGGGGGAAAAGGACGGCCCAGGGCTTATTCAAGAATAACCAAGTCCTTTCCGCCCTTGGCCTCGTCCAGTGTGATCGTTTTGTTATTCGTTGTTTTGCCGATCGGCCCGGGCCCCCAAATCCCCCCGATTGTCTCTACCCCCCATGGAGTAGATCTTGGCTGTTTTGTTGGCGCCTGTTTCGAGCAGGTGGAGTCTCCCCCAGAGGCAGCACTCCTGCAAACAGCCGCACTCAGCAGAGTTCCGGAGCCAGACCCCCCCCCCTTCCCCCCCCCCCTTCCGCCCAGTGTCGAGACGCCGAACAAGACAGCCAGGCCCCTCCGCTCCGCGAGCCTCATTGCAGTGGGCGGAGATGGAACCCCGTCCCCCCTTCCCCCCCCCTTCCGCCCACTGTCGAGACGCCGAACAGGACAACGCTTGACTTCTCCGAGAAGAGCCAAGCCCTTGGCCTCGGCGCCCGTGGCCTGCCTCGTCCGATCCCGTCCTCCTTCCGCGCGCGGCTCCTCGGCGCCGCCGCCCGTGCCCCTGCGCGCTCCCCCCCGTGTCTTGGGCTGACCGGGCTGCCCGCCCCCGCCCCGTCGCGGGGGGGGGGGGGGCACCCTTCGAGCAGGGGCATGCCCAGGGGGCCAGCACGTGGGCGGAAGACTCGAATCGGGGGCGGGCAGATGCCCCCCCCCCCCTTGACGCGTCGACCGGTGAATTGTCCGTTTCCGGTTCTCGGGGGGGCGCCGCGGCCGTCGTTTTCCAGGCTTGCGCCCCCCAGGTTTGGGCCCGAGGTCGTTTTCACTAGACCGCGTTTTGCTAAAGGGGGTTCTGTCCATCCCCGATTCGAGCCCTCGCACACTTGAGGGGGATACTTTCGCAGGCCGAAAGGCTGTCCTCTTGAGCCCCAGACGTCGGAGGCGACGGCATCCCGCCCCCTCTCCCCTTCTCCCCCCTCCTCGTGCCTCCTCCCTCCTCCTTCCCCCCTCTGTCCTGGGAAGACCCCCCTCCCCCATAGAATCATAGCTTTGGTCAGCAGATCCACTGTTCCGTGGATAGCATGATGCTTCACGTGCAGTGCCCCGCGGATCCCATTTCCCTTGGTTCCAGGATGTTAATTATTCTTTTTGTTTTCCGAGGTTGGGGGGTGAGTCCGACGTGAAACTGAGACCACCCCTACCGGGAAATCGATTTCGGTTTCGGGTTCGTGTCGTGCGTGCCGTGCGCGCGTGCGGGCGAGGCGAAGCTGCGTGGGCTGGCGAGAGGAAATCCTCCCGTGGATGGGCCGCGGCCGGACCAAATGTTTCTCCTCCAGCGGCCGGTGGCCCGCGGTTTCCCGCCGGTGTCCCGCTGGTGTCCCGAAATCCTCCTGTGGCTGGGCCGCGGCCGGACCAAAT